CTGCTCCAAGTGCAGCAATTAGGCTGAAACTGAAAATACATCACAGGGGAATGGGGATCTTATTTTGAAGACTGAGAGGATTTTTGTATATGAGCTGAGAAAAGGATCTAATTTTATTTTTCTGTATGTGCATCTCCAGTTTTCCCAGCACCATTTATTTAAGAAATTATCCTTTCCCCATTGTGTCTTCTTGGCACCTTTGTCAAAGATTGACTGTGAATGTGTGGATTTGTTTCTGGGCTTGCTATTCAGTACCATTGATCTATGTGTCTGTTTTTGTACCTGTACCATGCTGTTTTGATTACTGTAGCTAGGTTTGTAGTACATTTTGAAATCAGGTAGTGTGATGCCTCCAGTTTTGTTCTTTTTGCTCAAGAGCACTTTGGCTATTCAAGGTCTCCTGTGGTTTCATGTGAATTTTTAGGGTTTTTAAAAATTATTTTTGTGAAAATGTCATTGGAATTTGGATAGATTGCTTTGGGTAGTATGCGTATTTTAATTTATTTATATATTAATTAATTTGAGTTCCTTATATGCTTTGGCTATTAACCTCTTATCAAATATATAGTTTGCAAATTTTTTTCACTCTGTGCACTGTGTTTTCACTTTGTTAATTCTTTTGCTGTGCAGAAGATTTTAAGTTTGATGTAATCCCATTTGTCTATTTTTGCTTTTGTTGTCTAAGCTTTTGGGGTCATACCCCAAAAAATTCTTGTCCAGAGCAATGTTGTAGAGCGACTCAAGCAATCCAATAGCAAGAAAATAAATAACCCAACAGAAAATGAGCAAAGGACCTGAAAAAATTTTTTCAAAAGAGTACATACCAATGGCCTATAGATATATGAAAAAATGCTCAATGTCACTAATCATCAAGTAAGTGCAAACTAAAACCACAATGAGATATCACCTCCACCTTTTAGAATGGAAATTATCAGAAGATTAGATAGAGCAGGCCGAGCCCGTGGCACACTCAGGGAGTGTGGCGCTGGGAGCGCAGGAGCGCTCCCGCCGTGGGTTCGGATCCTCTATAGGGATGACCTGTGCGCTCACAGCGCTCACTGGCTGAGCGTGGTGCGGCCAGTCTCAA